TATGCAACAATAAAGGAGATACATTAAACTATTACATTTTAGGCATTTATCCCAAAAAATGTACTCACTGTTGACCGCGGTTAGCGCCAGGAGCAGACAGGCTAAACACATGAGCAGGTTCATCATATAGCAAACAGGGATGTTTCTTTAGACGATATGACTGGATCACTGCAGACAAGCAGCCTTCTCTCTGTCAGCCCAGACTGTTCATTCCTTCTTCTCCGGTACCAGTGGAAGTGATTCTAATCAAACTGTATCCTTCAGTTTCCCTATTAAAAAAAAAAAAAAGAAAGTTTTTAATTTCATTGGTTTTCATGAAGCTGCAAAGTCACTCTGGGATGGGCTGAGAGGAGAAAAAGAGAAGAAGGAGCAACAAAAGTTCACATTCAGAAAGTCTTTATTATCAGAAATGCCTGTCCTCTGACCCTCCTGACTTGTTGAAAGGCCCGACGTTGTTGCCATAGCAACAAAGATGGCACTGTGCCCGGGTGGGTTCATCTATACTGTATCAGCACGCTCTGTTTCAACATCCAGGATTATCCCTGCTGAAGTATCTGTGTGTGTGCGTGTCTGTGTGGGTGTGAGAGTATGTGTTCATGTATTTGATACAGTGTAAGGACCATTTTTCCAACAAATGCTACGCTGTGAGGACCGACTGGTCCTTATGGGGCCCAAAGCTCATTGAGAATAGGTGCTGTTTTTGGGTTAGGACTAAGGTTTAGGACAAAGGTTGTGAACTGAGTATGGGTTAGATGTAGGGTTAGGATCAGGGTTTGGCTGTAGAAATGAATGAAAAATGGATGGAAGTCAATGCAAAGTCTCTAGAAAGATGTACTGTGTGTGTGAGTATATATGTGTGTGTATTTCTGTGTGGTTTTGTTGTGTAATCGTGGGGATATTCACACAGAGGGATTCTGCACCCAAGTGTCTCTTTCTGACTCATCGGCCATTGCTGAATCTGTGTCAGCAACGATAAGAAGCCCTTATCAACCTACGACGACAATGATGATGATGATGATGATGATGATGATGATGATGATGATGATGATTGTGATTATGATCAGCCATCTGGCAAGTCAATATCAGCCACAGTAGGAGGGCTAGGAGGGAAGTGCTGGTGTGTGTGTTGTTGGGGGAGGGGGGAGGGGTAAGAGGAGGCGGTCACCTGACCTCCTCTTGTCCCACATGTGGAGCCATCTGACTAATTGATGTTTTACCCAGAGAAAGGGAGAAACGGCTTTGTGTGTTGTGACCTTCCATGGCCAGGTGTTTCCCAAGTCCGAGCTACAAATGAACACAGCACCAGATTGACCGTTTTCCTCCAGACAGCAAGAAAATGGTGAAAAAGACTTTCCAAAATTTTCTTTCTAAGTTTTTTTTTTCTTCTTTTGTACATCATTAATTTATTATTTTATGAACAGCATATTTTTAAACTTCATTTATTTCAACTGAGCCCTCAACAGACCACTGTGGAACACGGTGGTGGTAGCATCATGCTGTGTGAGGACGCTTTTCTTTAGCAGGAGATGGACTTACATGGAATGGTTCAGACGAAACCATAGTTATGTTCTGAAACTGCCCAAGAAAATCCAATTATGCTTCTGTAGTTGTCTTGTCCTAAACAGTGGACCTCTGCAGCTTCTCCAGAGATATCATGGCTATTTCTTTGATTATCACTCTTCCGGACATTCCTGTCAGTTCAGGTGGAAATGCACAACACACGTTTTCATGCTGTTATTCATAAAAGACTTTTTTTTTTTTTAACCGTGCATCACCCTTCTTTCGCTCTAGTTTGTGTTGTTCTGTGGGGAAAGGTTTGATTCTCTTGTCTTTTCTATTTTTCAACTCCAACATTCATTTCCCAAAACATTCCCTGTCTCACAAACACGCCCAGACACAAAGGCGCACACTGTTTTTGTCACAGCGACGCTTCACCCGAGGGAAAGTTCAGCATGCTATCACCTTCCAGCCTCACAGGTGGAGCGACACCTCAGGGAGTGCTGATTGTATGTAGGCTAGGAGTTGCAAACACCCATGTGGCTGCAAACTCTGTGAGGAAATAAATGAGCGGAGTCTGGGGCAAACATGGCTGTGAGGGGCAAAATGAAATAAGAAAGGAGTTACATTTCAGCTGAAGCACGGTCAGCAGCACCTTCGCACATGGTGGTTACTTTTGATCACGAGTCAATGTGAGATGTACAAAGAGGGTTAAGCAGATTTACTCTCTGACCAGCTTTACAGGAATACTAGAGGGGGACAAAAAGAGAAAACTTTTCCTTGTTCAAAGAAAGAATGACTGCCATCGTCTCCTGCCTCATCTCAGGTGGACAGAACACGAGAGGGCTCTTTATAACATCGCTGGATATAAAAACAACATGTCGAACGAGTATAGATTGTCATTTCACTGGCTTGTTGGGTTTCATGTCTGCAAAGATTCACTTTATCTGCAACGCCGAACAATAAGTTGATGCTGTGAGAACAAAGGCCCCCCCGAAGAAAAAGGTGTAATAAAAGAAGGATAAAGTGTTTTTTTTTTTCTTCTTCTAGTACTGGGTCAGATACTCTCCTTTCTGAATGTGACAGAGATGTTAATAATGGTGAGGGATAATGAGAGGGACAGGCTTACTTAGAGTATAAAAGAGTCCCGAGACTTCTCCGTCTCCTCTTGATGTGTGGGAATGTTTTAGTGTGTCTTGAAGCTGGTAACTTGGAGGATTTTGACACAACTGTTGATAAGGTGAGAAAGCTTATGTGTTGCTACCACTAAGCAGTGAGAGTGTTAATCGCATCCCTGGCAGACTTAGATTTAAAAGGCTTTTCATTCGCTGCTCAAGAAGTTGTTTTTCATCCAGTCAAAAGAAACATGTTGATCATACTGAAAGATTACTGCAAACCTAAATCTGCCAGGGTGATGAATGACTCCTGAGCTCTTTTCTTCATGGTTATGTTATGTTATGTTATCATTTTATATATAGCATAGAGTTACATTATGTTATTTTACCTAGTGTTACTTTACATTATGCAATGAAATGTAAGAAAATGTTTGATTATTTACATCACATTTTATTACTTTATGTTATGCTGCATTTTCTTTTGTTGTTAGAGTAACTGTCATGTTACATGTGTTGTGATATGTTGCATTGCATTATGTCATGTTATAATCTGTCATATTTTGTTCTGATTGCATCTCCAAACTTCGGTGCAAGTGTTGATCCTGAAGTATTGTGCATTTCGTGTATTTGATAGTTATGATTTATTGCTGCTGTGTGAAAATGATCTTACTTCTGAGATTTATTTTGCCACTTGTCTTTCTGTTATTCATTTAGCAATTCAAAATGGAATGAATTAATATTACTTGTTTGTTTTGTGTATACGAACAGTACGATGCTTGTGCCCTTTTCCATCAGCTTTCCGTGAGGATTTTTGTCTTAACTTGATTTTTATTGTCTGTGTCTTTCCTTTTTTTTTTTTTTGTAGCAGCTGATATGACGCAACTTGCTCCCTACTGTCTCCTCTTACTGCTCGCCCTGATTGTTGCTAGCCTGGCAGGTGAGAAATGAAACGCATTGCTGTTTTGCCAGAATATTCACGTGGATCTGCTTGCAAATGCAACCTTTCGTAGAGGAGAAAGAATGTTTTGTTTTTCTTTGTCTCTTTTAGTTGAGAATGATAACAGAATTGTTGGTGGCACAGTGGTAGAGCCTTACTCTATCAAATATCAAGCCTCTCTCCTGTACAGAGATTCCCTCTTCTGTGGAGGCACCCTGGTTCACCCGCAGTGGGTGGTGTCTGCTGCCCACTGCTGGAGGCCGTAAGTTACTGCAGCTGTCCTCCTTCACCAGTCACGCCAACACACATTAATATGTAACAGAAGTTAGTCTACATCGTGACGCTTAGAATGGATTATAATAGTTAGTCTTTTATGGCAGAAAGAAATAATATCACATAATTCTGATCTCATCGGGTGTCTTTACATAAACACGATGAAGTGTATTGTGTACTTTTTTTTTTTTTTTAAATAACCTCTGCAGGAATCAGCTGATGAAAGTGGTCCTGGGGGAGCATAACATCAAAGAGAAGGAAGGATATGAGCAAATATTTGACGTCTTGTTAATCATAAAACATTACCAGTTCAATTACTGGAACCTGGACAACGACATCATGCTTCTTAAGGTAAAACATCCGCTGTGACAAATGTTTGGATTTAGAAAATGCTGAGTCACTCAGAAATGGGTGGTTAGAGCCACTGTGTGGACTGAATGTCCCTGAGATGTGAAAGACAACAGAGAGAAGATGAAAACTTTAGCTGACCTTATACACAAATTTCAAATCTAATTGGTGTCCAAAAGTAGTATTTAAATTAAATATGCAACCATGTGTAAATACATAGCAGTATATTTCAATATGTCATTTATTAATATATATTTTTAATGTGAAGTCTAATTAATGTATATAAATATTTATTAGCATTTTTTTTTTGCTGTGCAATTATTGTTATTATTTTATGAGGATTTTTGGGAGGTAAAAAAAAAAGTGCAATAATAGTAATAAATGCAACATTTGAAGTCTTTCTACAGATGAATATTTAAAAATATATGCAAGTTATGATTTGGATTGCAACACCAAGTGCAATAACCCCAACCCCCCTCAAAAAAAAGGCAAAATATGCAAAATCTAATAACTAATGACAAAAAAATGGCATCGACAGTGTAGTTTCATTGTCGCCTTTTTTCATTTTTTTAAATTCACTTGGACATTTTACAAAGCAGACTTACATGACACCAGTGAGGATTTGTTGCTGGAAAGCATCTTAAATGCATTGCAAACATTTTCAGGTGGCTAACCAACTGGTTTGTTCTTTTGTGGAAAGCTGGACCGTCCTGCTGTCATCAACGAAGTGGTCAGTCCAGTTATTTTGCCCCGCACGAGCACTTTGCAAAACTTTGCTCGGTGCACTGTTAGCGGATGGGGAGTCACCTCCGTCTATGGCCAGAGCCTGTCGCCTGAGCTGATGTCTGTAGACGTGGATTACTTCGCAGACTGTTGGTACTACTACTACTTCAGGATCACAAACAACATGATCTGCGCTGGGTCCACTGATGGAGGAAGAGATTCTTGTCAGGTGAATCACTAAATCACTAAACCAAAGGTTGGAGATGGAGAGGAGGTGTTGCTTTGCTCTCGGTGTTTAACGATTACAAGGAGAGAAACAAAAAGTCAGAAATAAGTTCAGTTGATTAAACGGTTAGCACAAACAACCATTTTATTTCGAGCAGTGAAGCAAGCTTTAAGCATACTTAAGTTCTTTTCAAAATTGTTCCACCAATATTAATTTTTAAATACATTTCAAGGTGTTTGACAAATCCAGATATTTTATGAACCAGACCTAGTTCGGATTGCTTAACCAGTTTATCTGAAAAAAACATGTCTGAATGGGAAATGCAGGAATTGACGCTAAACTAAAGGGTGTGACAGCTGATGAGTTATTGTTTTGCTCTGAGTGTTTAACAATTCCCAGGAAAGAAACAGGAAGTGAGAACTAAATTCAGCTGATAAAATGGTTAGAACAATAGCCACTGTATTACTTCATTTTCTTTACCGGACAGAGCAGAGAAAGAGGCTTTAAGGACACCTAAGATCTGTTGCAAATTGTTCCTCCAATGTTAATTTTGTTTTACATTTCAAGGTGTTTGACAAATCCAAATATTTTATGAGCCAGACCTACTTCAGATTGTTTAAATAGTTTATCTGGAAAAAAACAAACAAACAAAAAAACATGTCTGAACGGAAAAATAGTTGTCACGCACGAAAGTTTGATTTTTAATTAAAACCTATTTCATCCCTTTAGATTTCTTGGATTTAGCTCTAAAAAATATTCCCTTCATTTGCTCCTGCCAGGGAGATTCAGGAGGACCGCTGGTCTGCAACGGCAGACTGGAAGGCATTGTGTCATGGGGCATCGGCTGTGCTTATGCTTTTTACCCCGGCGTCTACACTAATGTGAGAAACTACGTCTCGTGGATCGACTGGGTCATCCAGAACAGCTAACCATCCACCAGAAGACCCTCCTCAGATGAATCTTCAAATGGATGTTGAAGATCAAAAGGCTTTTCTGTCTTTTTGATAGTTTATCTTAATAAATTTGAATGAATCTGCCAAGGTGACCGAACTTACAGAGTGATATTTTTTACACTTTTTTAATCAATGACTGGAACTCAGATTATTCTTATTATAACAGATCAACACAGAGAGAAAGTTTGTTTTTGTTTTTTTAATAGATCCACTTTCATTGTTTTTTTTTAGACCCTATTTCAAATAAGGTTGCAAATTCATGTCTGGGATTTTTTTTTTTACCCCTCTCAAACAATTCTTCTAATAAGTACAAAAAAAAAAGAAGCTAAAATAAAGATACATATTTTCTCAAACTGACTTGTCCTTTTCTGTTGTTTTGCTCACCTTGAGCTAAACATGAACACGTGAGTCTTTCAAAAACATATATCCTCTTTTACATTTTGTAATGAAGTCTTTAGATGAATATTTAAAAATGTATGCATGTTATGATTTGGACTGCAACACCAGGTGCAAATCTGGTGTTGCAGATTTGCACCTGCAAATCTGCAACACCAGATTTGCAGGTTTGCAAATCTATTTTGCAAAATATGCAAAATCTAAGACTTTTACATTTTGTAATGCAAAATGTAAAATAGGATACATATTTTTATCTCGATCTTAATGTAAATATTTCTATTCATCCTTTTCTCTTCTATTTTTATTACTGCAGCAGGCATAATTTTAACAAAGATCCTGAGTATTTTTGGAAAGGTAAAAAAAAAAAAAAGCAACAATGAGAATAATAATAGTGATATAAATTGCAACATTTGAATTCTTTCTACAGATGAATGCATACTTTAGGAAAATCTGCAAGCTATGAATTGGATTTCAATGCTAAGTGTAATAACGCAAAAAAGGAAAATATGCAAAATCTCAGGACCAATCAAATAAAAAAAAATGGCAACAACAGCATAGTTGCATTGCTATCTTATCAACTTTCAAAATTAGGTTCAGCTGTCATCATTTTCAGATGGCTGACTGGTTTTCCCTGCAACAACTGAGGCGTCACCTCATTCCAAATGTTGGAGTGGAATTTATTTCAACGTCATTTGTGAATGTTGGCTCTTGGACACTTCCACATTTTCAACAGTGGAGCTATCCAGGTTGAAAAGGGTTCTCGTTTTGGAGAAAGTGTCATTAAACTCCATATTCAAAAAAGCACCTCTCAAACTCAATGCAAGATGCCAGAGAGCACCAAGCTAATTTTTCTTTTATGTTGGAGAATTAATTTAATTCTACATAACTGTAACAGTAGGAGTCATAGTTTGTTAAATACTTTATTAAATATTTTTGCCCCATTTGATGACTGATGCCTGCTGTACTCACAAATGAATAAGGTAATTATTCCAACATTTATTGAACTTTCAGCGGCTGCAGTGCACATAATAAAGGTAAAATAACGCCAAACAACTCAAAACCACTTGTATCCGTTTACTTCCCCTTTTCTGTCATTGTGAATATTTTTGAGCGCCTTTCAAAAATATTCACATCTTTTTTTATATTCTGTATAAAAAATAAAAAATAAAAAAAAGGCCTACGCAAAGTCCTAATCAAATGTACAACACAAATACACAACCAGAACTAGACTGGGAAGATTTGCGTGACTCAACCCACATGACAGTTAAAGAAGACTCGCCCAAGTATATTTTGCTATAACTTGTCCTTTATTGCGGATTAAAACCGCCTCCCCTTTTCTTCATGACGCCATGTTGGGTTGGTTTCCGATTGGCTGTATGACTGCACCCTCACCCCTTTCCCCTCTGTCCTTTTCACATTTAAAGCAGAGCCACATCATTCTCATTTAGATGCTCAAAACCAACCCAACAAAACAAAGAACGCAGGATGGACCAAAGGCACTTGTCACCGGAGGAAGTTAATGAACTGATCAATCAGTCCCACAAGGCCAAAGAACATTCTTACTCTCCCTACAGCAAATTTAGAGTGGGAGCTGCAGTCAAGACTCGAGACGGCCGTGTCTTTACAGGTAAGCTGTGGGTGTGGACAGCTGAGGAGAGCAAATAGGATGAACAGAGGTTGTATTTGATTTTCGGAAGAACAGAAAACTAGCACCATTGCTTATGACTGGGCTTCAGGACTTTTGAAAAACTGTAAGTACATTGTGTTCAGTGTTACACAGTCTGACTCAACCAAATCAGTTCTGACTTCTGGGATAAGATACTCAATTCATAATCTAAACGGCACATATGTAGGTTTGTTCTGAAGCTGATGCTGCAAAATAATGTTAATTGTTACCTAAGAGTTAACTATGTGGAAAATTCAGAGTAAAGTTTTACAATCCAGCCTATCAATCAACAATCCTCCCAGGTGACAGGGCGTCATAAGTCCATCTGACAGAATCACATGCTACCTTTTAACGATATAGATGCAATCTGTGTCAACCTCACCTTGTACACGGACACAGATGTCCTGTCAGCATTGCTGGACAGCACAAAGCTTGACAAGTCACCTGTTTTCATCACACGAGGGGGTTGGGTGAAGGGTGGTGAGGTGAATGACAAGCAAACAGCTGCGAGTCCAAAGACCCAGAGAGTCACTGTTTGAAAAGACCTGAATAAGTAAATAAGCCAGCTGTAACCTGTAGTGGATCACTCATTACGTCTGTTTGTGCCTCTGTCAGGTTGCAATGTGGAGAACGCATGTTACAATCTGGGAGTGTGTGCCGAAAGAAATGTCATTGCAAAGGCCGTGTCAGAAGGTTACAAAGACTTCATTGCCATTGCCATCGCCAGGTAACCAACGCCTTTGATTGGTCTCTGGAATTCACCCTGGACAGAAATTTGTCCTGTAGATACTTCACATTTCATTTCTTTTTGCATATCAAAATGCCTAAATTATACAGTTTCACTCAAGTTTGCTAAATAAATTCTCAGGAAAAAAAAGCCCTCTCTACCCAGTGACACTATCCAGCTAAATCTGAGTCATTGTCTTCCAATGGGTATAATACAAATTCTCTGCTGAAATGTCAATGGAAGCATTTTTAAAAACTTATAGCATTTTATAGCAAGTCTAATAATCACTTTAGATTAATTTTTCTATAAACTAGAATGGAAAGCTGTTCTCATGTACTCATATCTTCCAAACAGTAAAGAAAAGTGTATTAATGAGCAACCACCAGACCTCTCCATTAGTCTTTGGAGACTTTATGGACTCTTAAGTTCATAAAGTCCTTAGGAGGCTTAAAGTTGACAATCAGCTCATTAATTTAACAGACCAAACCAGAGACTATAGTTAGTCATGAACAATTTCACTCTTTCTTGCCCAAATATTCAATACTTGTCTGTATTAAGGAAGTAAAGTATGTTAATGCTAACATAGCTAATAACCTAACCTAATATCAACTCTTAAGGATATTAAGGTCTTCATATTAGCTGAACACAGTTGCTAATGCTAGCTAATGTCCTAAAATTTGCATATTAGTTTATCCTAGAGTATTAACCACCTTTAGCACAAAGCTAATATTCACTCCTATTAGCGATACATTAAGCATTTAAGCTTATGATAGCTTAGCTTTTATTAGCATGTTAGCTAATGCTATCAAACTACCCAACCATAGCATAGTAACATCTGATGTTCATAGCTAACAAGCTTATACCTTTGCATTAGCCAAAGTTAGCATTTAAACTATTGCTGGCATCTGACATGCTATTTGAATGTTAGTATTATAAACATATTTCATCCCTGAAATACTGCACAGACCTCACTTTTTCCATACTACCTAACACCTAAACATGATACATAGTGTTAATTTTTGCAGTTATATCCTCTTTTTACTTTTTAAATGTTGATGCTTATTTTTACTCTTCAACAATGCAGCAACCACACTGCATTTTCAGAGGAAATGCATTTATTGTAGTTTAAAGGAAATTGTGCCTTCTGATCGTTCAGTGATATGGAAACAGAGTTCATCTCCCCATGTGGAGCCTGCAGACAAGTCATGAGAGAGGTATGATGTGTTTTTGTACTATCTATGCCTGTTTTATTTCTGTCTCCGGGCAGTACATACATACATATATATATATATATATATATATATATATATATATATATATATATATATATGCACTACATGTACTGCTGAGGAATTCAATTGTACATGGCATCTTATGAATTTGTGAATGAACCATCTAAGATAGAAAGATAGAGATAAGTATTTATTCTTATGTTTTTATTCTTCCAACTACAGTTTGGGTGTAATTGGGACGTTTACCTTACAAAGACCGATAAGTCGTACGAGAAGATGACTGTGGACGAGCTACTGCCCCGCTCTTTTGGCCCCGATGACCTGTCCAAGGAGAAGGTGTCCAACATTCCCAGCAATCACTGAGCTTGGATTATATGACAAGTTAATTTACAGAAACATGAGATGCACTCTGTTTTAGCATACACACAACCTTCTCTACATTTATTCTCATCTTTGGTAAAGTATGAGTAAAAAAAGAAAAACATATTTATATATAGAATAGAAGCATATCTAGTTGCAATAGCATAATCTCAAACTGAAAACTGTGCTTGAGAATAAGCGCTGGTCTTTACCTCCCTTACGTTTAAAGCTTAACATAAATTTGCCTAATTTGAATAGCATGTTCTCATGTTTGTTTTTTTTTCCATGTTGGGGATCTAAGATACAACGTACTAATTTGAATAGGTAAATGTCTAAGGAAAAACAAATTAGTAGTCGAGTTTTTCTAAAGGTTTCAGTGACGCTATTGTACTGCAATAAAAGAAATTGACTTAAAAGTTGTTTTGGACACACCTTTAACAGTAAACACCACTTGTTTAGCAGCAGTTAAATTTATGATTAATACCAATTTTTCTGTTGTCTGCCAACAAACAATATTTAAATGTTCTATATCCGCATTATAAAAATATGAACAAGAGATTTGTTTCAGCTTTGCACCACTGACTCAAAAACAACTGATGGCCTCTTAATGTAGATAAAAAATATTTATTAGTTCCAAGAAGCAAAAACAGAAATTGATGCACACATTTGAATAAATAAACATTTTCTGAAAATGAGTCCTCTTTCATTTTCTACAGCTAGACCAGAAAAGGATGTTAAGGTTTCAGTGTACAGCAAATATTATTTGTTGAGCAGCAAAGGATTATTAACAGTTAAGGAATTAATCATCAAGAAAAGTGAAATATTTATGCAGTGGAAAAAAAAAAAACATTTATCCAGCAGCGTCTTTTGAGTCTACCTACTTGAAGCTTACACATTTGAGGTTAAAGGTTAAGATTTACAGAAAGACAGAATAATATGTTCTGACTGTTTCTCCCAAAAGTGACAACAAAAAAAAATCAGCTTTTAAATGAACATTTCCGATCGAATATTCCTATTTGATGTGTAAAATCTCTTGAAGCAGTTTCAAAGTTGAAATTTCCATCAGCTAAAAAAAAATGAAGGGGAAAAAAATAAGTTTTGTGATTAAACTGAAAAGTGTGTCTGGTAGGAAACATTTGGCAAACAGGTTTCCTCTGACTGGATGTAATAACTGCTTAGCATTGAGGCAGCCTAGTTAAAGTCCTGGCTGGGATCTGTAAGATTCATGAATTTTAAGGAGCGTTTCATTGCTGAAATACCACTAAAGGCTTTATCGCTGATTTAGTAATGGCTTAAGTAAGATTCAACATGTGCTAAATAAAAAGTTATTGGGAGTTTGAAATCTGCCAGGGGTATGAATAATTCTGAGCCTAACTCTATTCCTTCAGACCACATGCTGAAAATCGATCTCTAAAGAGAAGTCTTAAAAAAAAAAAAAAGCTTCGAAGCTTGAGGTGCATTTCAGAGGCTTGGTGCGTGTCTAATTAATTTAAATGGTGCAAAAAAATGCCGCACACTTAATGACTTCACCTAATAAATAAAAAAGATGGCAGAGAATCAAACTCCTGGGGTCGGATGAAGAAAACATGTGTACACACAAAAAGCCACGTACCGTATCCGCCTTTTCTCTACAGATAAACTGGTATTTACGAAGAAGATGAAAATCTCTTTATCGCAGACATTTCTGTAGCTGATATGGCAGAAAAAGAGAAAAGAAACGACAGGACTGAATTGTACTCACAATATGCTTCTCAGTTTGTTTTTGACATATTCTCTTGAGGTCCGGCATTTAGATGGCTTCTTAATGCAACAATAAATATTTAGAGATAAGCGCAGACATTTTTCTTGCTGCTGGATCTGATTTCAGCCCAACAAATACATCCCATGTATAAAGGTCCTGGAATGGATGTTTTGGACGTTAAAATATCCAACATCTCTAATCCACCATACAGGCTGAATGTACATCTCCTGTATATAAGGAATAGTGTTTGTGTAAGCAGTAGATCTTTCTTGCCTCTGGAAGCTTTTTCATTATCCTGCAAAGGCTTTTCTCAGAAACTCTTACTTGTTATTTTGTTATTTAGTTCCTTTTTGCTTCTTCTTTGCTCTCGCGTTTACGTTCAAGTGCATTCGGCTGTGATGAAAGCAGTGTTTGTATCTGGGCCTGTGATTGAGCCGGGTGTGTCTGCACCAAATCCCTTCGACGGATGTTACTGGAGGATTTTCATCCCGTGTAATTATGACCGAGATTTACAAATAAAACCTATGGTACGCAACGGCATAACAAAACAAATATAACCAAATACATTTCCAATTTCAGACAGGGCTAGACACAGCTAACACCTCCTGCACTGAGATTCATCCAGACTGTGCGAATATGACGAAGCGATATGGGACCAGGTGTTGCTGCTCACCAACAGATCAGTGCCGCGCTACACATAACTTAAACAGTTATTTGAAAACAACATGGTTGCTCTGCAGCTTTCTTTGTTCAGGAGGAAAAAGAAAAAAACATAAGGTGCACCTGTTCTTTTCTCTGACCTCAGCTCTCTGCGGAGAAGGCGCTGGAGGCATCGTTCAGCGTAGGCCACAACGAGACGTACAGCCTGGGCAGGGTGCCCTCCATGAGCCGCTCCATCCACAACCCCAGCCTGTCCAGCTTGTGGTGGACCTCTATGCTGGTGGGCCTGCTCGAGCCTCTCTTGGGGACGCCTCCGTCTTCCCTGGAGTGAGAGCGGGAGCGGGAGTGGGAGCTGGACCTGGATCTGGGCCGCGACTTCCTCTTGCAGTCGGAGGAGTCGGATGACGAGTCGTCGGGGTCGTCCCCGGTGAAGACGGGTCTGAAGAGACAAAAGTACTTCTTGTGGCCGTTGAGGGCCAGGACGTGGCCCGTGTAGTCCGAGGACTCCTCGTCGTCCGAGTGGCTTTCGCTCGGCCCGGCGGGACAGGCGGAGCGAAGGAGCGAAGGCATCCAGTGGCGGTGCTTATCCGCGTTGAGGAAGGAGAAGTGGAGGGTCTGAGTGCTGAAGTAGGACAGCAATTTTAGGATGAACAACAGGAGTTACGGGCTACTTCTTAACACAGCTGATGCATCTTAGTAGGCTCACCCAGAGAAAGAGAAAACCTCCTTTGCAAACTTCCGGAGCAGAGCGTTCTTGGAGGCGTTGGTGAGCACTAGCACAACGTTGATCTGACCCGGTCTCAGCTTTACCAGGTTACTGGTGTAGGTGACGTCCGTTAGCTCTGTCACTTCCACAAAGTCCTTCCTCGGAGGACGGCTGAGAGACAACAAGGGGAGAGGAGAGTTGATCGGAGAACAGCGTAAATGATGCTAGCAACTCCATATTTTGGGAATATTTGGTGCATCGGTTGAAATGGATACAGGCGCATGTAGGAATGTGTACAAAAACATTATTTAAATAAAAATTTATCCCACTTTTTCTTACTGAAGTAAAAATTCATCCCGAACATTTTTAGAAACATTTAACAATTAATTTGAGCACGCTTAATAAGAGGGGAAACACTCTTCTGTGTGTGTGTGTGTGTGTGAAGCAATAATTGTTGACGATGACTGATGATACATTTTTAGTCAGCTCCACCCGATTTCATTTTAAATCTGGAATTTCATAGAGTTCATGACACCAAGTACTTTGATAGGCCCACAGCATGACAGATCCTCCACCACTCATGCTTTTGGTTCATGAAAAACAAAACGGTAGTGATTATTGCAGAGGAAGGACGCAGTTCCAGTTAAAGTTCCAGTGGAGTTTAGTAACACATTTGTGTCTGTAACTAAAAGCAAAGGTTTCTGGCATGTCACCCAAACACACTACTTGATATGTGTAGCGTATCTAGTGGTTGTCAAGGAGACCTGGTGACTCCATGATGCCACTCTTTGCTGGAGTACAGCTTTGGATTTTATTTATTTTTTTTACATTTTTCCTACCATTCTGCTCACTGTGTGCGTCTGAATGTTAAATACGAGTTCTGTGTCGCATCATATTTATCCACCGTTGAAACAAAAAGTCACTGACTAGTTAGAAAGTTCCTAGAAACTCTAATCAATTTTTAAATTCAAAGTAAAGTATGAATTGAAGGAGAAAGTATAAATTTAAGAAAGTCTATACATTTTATTTTAGTCATTCGGAACATGTTGTACATCTGGACTAATTCGGACAATTTTTATAGCAAAGTTTTAAACTTTATTTGTATTTGCCAAATAAGAATGACTGTAAATTTACTTTTAAAGTGAAGTATTTTGCTCATAAACATTTCAAAATTAGCACTTTTCAAGCCCAGCTCAACCAGAATCTGAAGTTGTCTAAAGTCCAGAAAGAAGTGAAATTATCCATTTCTCCCTTTGTGGAATATACTTTTACTCAATTAATCAAAAAAAAAAAAGGTGACGTGGTAAATTAAAGATAAGTAATGTAACTAAAATGCCTGCTAATGCAAAAAAAAAAATGAATTTATTAAAAATCGCTACATTTTTTTTTCCTTGAAATCGAAGAAAGAAGTCTTTAAAATTAAACATTTCTCAATTTTCTTTTGTTCAAACTTATCAAAACCTGGAAAATGGTAAAAACTAAAAAAAATAATAATAATCTATTTCAATACTGTGTTTAAAACCTTGCCTCAACATAGTGGCAAATGTTTTATTGTTTTCTAATTCTGCTTAATCAGGATTCCCGCTGAGAGTGACGGGAACCATCTTGCGAGGTCTTGCATTGATCGGACTTCAGAGAGATAAAATTAAAGTGATGTCAGAGCTGATATAAGCACTCGTGGAAAGTAAACCAAAAAATGTTGATGTTAAACTGACCAGCTGCAAATAATTGAGCCGTTTGTGTTCAGCCATGCTCTGCAGGAGCTAGTCTGAGACTAGGAGTGACTAATCCCAGTAGATCATTACAGATATTCAGGCGAGACGTCTCGTGTATTGGGTCCGTCTTGTGCTCATTTCAACTCACTGCATTACCTCGAGGTATTTGCTCTGCTTGATGCATCATCCTCTGTTTGAGTTGCGTTTTGCTCCTTTGGCTTCGGTTTCTGAGGTTTGCTCTCGCTTGGCTCGCTGTGAACAACGGCAAACGAGAGAATGAGAGGTGAAGGCTCTTCTAGCTGTGAACTAGGAGGTGAGATTTCTGCACGCTCATTCAACCGACTGCATTAGATGAAGACTCACCTGAAAGCCTGAATTATTACAGTACCAAAAAGAATGAAGAGAGCCGAGAAGATCAAGGACAGGATAGGCATCATCTCTCGCCTAGAAGTGGGGAAAAATATAAATGTTATTTTTACAAATGGATTAAAATTCTCAGACACAGGTGGATTTGTTGGTTCACTCCCATAAAAAAGACACTGCGTTGCCAATTCGGTCCCTAGTTGTTGTATAACTTTCAAAGCGGAGCACTGCAGCTTTAACAGGACAGACTAAATAAGAACCAACGCAGATCTTAAAGCAGCATCCGATCTTGTTTCAACAAACACCGTTGATCTCTTTTTGCATCGCATCCTGCCGTTTCCTGAGGGAGTACCGTCTTACCAGTTTGAGTAGAGAAGGCTATCATATATTTGAAGGATGTAATCATACGCAGCATTCATCCACTGGATGATAAAAATCTGGAGAAAAGATCAAAAACACACATAAAAAAAAAAACAGCAACATCCATTAAAAATTAAACATGACTGCAAGGCAAAAAAAAAAAAAAAAAAAGAAACGCAGCTTTCTGTCTCCAAACTGCGATCGGGTGACTTACCGGAGCCATCTCGTTGTTGAGTTCCGGTAAGGTTGTGTCTGAGCTCAGGTAGGTGGGGTCTTTCTGCAGCAGCTCCAGCTGCTCGTGGAGCCGGTACTTGTCCTCCTGGCTGCCGTTCCAGCCGCTGCTCACGGAGCGGAACAGCACCCTGCCCGCCTGACTCCGCCTCTCCAGAATCACCACCTGTCAGTGTTATCGGAGAGCACGTTTAAACCGAGGCGGCGCGGCACGTTGCGCGTCGCGTGTCTGTAATCCGAAACAACGAATCCTATACGACTTCATCGTTTTGTGTGCCGTCAACGGAGAAGAAGGCGGTGGGGGGAGAGGGGGGAGTGTGGGGAGGAAAAAAAATAAAAAAGTTCATCTTGTCCTTGGTGTTTGCCGATTCTTGTGCGTGAACCGACCTGAGGGAAGGCGGCAGCCTGGTTGGGTAGTAGCGCCTGACAGAGAGGCTGCTGCTGACGTTGGTAGACGTATGTGAAGCGTAGGATGTCTTTTTTGTTAGTAGTGGCAAAGTCCACGAAAGCCTTGTTGCCTGGGAGGAAGGCTTCGTCCTCCCCAGTGATGAGCAGCACACAATACCTGGGAAAAAAAAACAACAAAAAAAACACAAGTTTAAACAAGGGTTAGGTTATGAAACAATAACTCTAACTGAGAGCCACAGAATGAAGCCAAATGAA